ATAATATTGACACATACATCCACTTACACACACACACATACATTTAAAAATCATCACTCCAACCACCTTTTTCCTGTGAGATTCCTCATATAAAGTAACCAATTCTGTAGAAGAGTTTTGGTAACTAGAACTCTGCTGTTTATGCTGAATTTTAAATTGATATTGAAAAAAAGTTTGTTAAATATTTTAACATTGTCCTGGCTACAACACTTTGTGTAATCTTCAAGGATATGTATAAGACTCTTAACTGTTTAATAGATTTTAAGGTTTTGTTCCTAAAAACCTTGAAGACAATACTTTTCTTTATAGTGAAGCTTTCAAGGCTAAAGATTTATTAAGCAATACATTCTTTTAAAGTCATGTTTTCACATACATACATGTCGCACAGTGGGTTTGATTTGTATATTAAAAACTAGAGGTCCTATTGAACATTTTGTATCCATTCTGCTGATCTTCAATTTACAATTTTTTATAATTTTTATCTTTAAAGAATATGTTGTGCTCAGGATGGAAATCTTTTCTTAAAACTAACTTGTCCACAGACTAGTCAATCTACTTTTTCACAGTCTAATCCATAGACCTGTCAATAGTCTAGTCCATATACTAGTCAAAAGGCTAGTTCAAGGCTACTCGAATGACTTTGAAATGTAATTAAAAAGGACCTTTTTTGGGAAATTTGGATAACAGCTGATCGATCCATTCATAGCTTATTGTCATATTGTTAAGAACACATATCTATTAAAAACTCAAAAGACACAAGAAGAGTTTATAATCGGACTTACTCGAGAACATTAGACAGTAAGAAAAGATCGAGGGATTCATCTTTGATACGATTTCTGCTAAAATTCCGATACAATTCCTTAAGCAGTCCGATCTGCGACGAGGTCTTCAGACTTTATGAATATATATTTGATGTAGGTGTTAGGAGACATCAAATCCTGTTTCCAAACTGTTTTTCAATTTAAGATAAAAATATGTGACCTTTGAATCCACCGACTTCTCATCTGAAGACCAACTTTGTAAAACAAAATAAAGGAAAATTTTGATCTTTTGTAGATAATTCTGAAGAAGTTTTATATATTTTTAGATTAATAAGATGTATGGTTTTTATGAAAACAAATTTATTGCCTACTTTAGGAATTATATCCACTGTTTGTTGCTGTTGTATTTGTTTTTTACGGTTTTGTTAAAGTATGTGTGACATTGACAATATTATATACGTTTTTTTACTTTTGGTAAACAGGATATTATTATTTTCCCTTTAATGGTTGCTTTTATTTATTTTACATATATATTTTTACACAATTTATATTTTTGCAGGATTTATATTGAAAAAAATGAAAGGATTTTCATATTTATGTTATACAGTTTGTTGGTGGTCAATTTGTTTACGAGTATATATTTTTTTAATTCTTTATGCAGCATTTAAAATAACATTTAATAAATATGCTAATGAAAGAACAACATAATGTTTATTAAGTTATGTTTTTGCTGCAGTTGTTTATTTGCAAATAAAATTTAAATGAACCGGTAAAGTAGCTTTTGACCATAATCATTTCTTATGATTATTGTATTTTTTTTTTTTTCAATTGGGGGAATTTTCAACCACAAATAGATGGGGTTTTCTAGACAAGTCATTTTTTTATATTTTAAAGGAAAATTCCCAAAAATTTAAAGAAGTAATACAAATAAATTTATGTTGTTTTTTTTATAAATTATATCTAAAGTTTTTAATTAGTTTAAGATATTAAATTTGCATTAAATGAAGTGTGGTTAAAACTGGTAATATTGTTAAAAATATGAATAAATATTTAAAAACTAAATATTCAAAAACAAATTTTAAAATAAATGATATTTTAACACTTTCAAAGGTCTCTTTTAGTACTAAATGCAATTCCAATTTCTATTTGAAGTTGCAAGTTTTAAAACTTTTACCCACAATTATTACACACCCGAAAAATGAGTAAAATTATAATTTTATTTTTAAAACCCAAATGTCAAATCAGTTAATAAATATTATTAACGCTTTCGAAAAGCGTAAACATTTCTTACATAAGTGCTTAAAACACCTTTATACCAATATCTTAACAAATTTAAGTTTTTGCTGAAAACTGGTGGCAAACGAACATTTAAAAAGACCGCCAACTGTTAATGACGCGTGTTACGATCACTTAAAATTAATCTAAATTCTCGTAAAAAGTTACTACAACAAGAAAAAAAGATGAAAGTAAATTAATTTTATAGACCAGAAGACAGATTGGGCCATATTTTCAATAATTTACTGCCGAAAATACTTAAGAAATAAATGAGAAACAGTAAAAGCTCTTTACATAAGACAAGTTATATTTTATTTATTGGCTATGGGAGATGGATAGATAGATAGATAGATAGATAGATAGATAGATAGATAGATAGATAGATAGATAGATAGATTAGATAGATAGATAGATAGATAGATATGATAGATAGGATAGATAGATCGATCGATACGCTCGCTCGCTCGCTCGCTCTGCTCGCTCGCCTCGCTCGCTCGCTCGCTCGCCTCGCTCGCTCGCTCGCTCGCTGCTCGCTCGCTCGATCGCTCCCCTGCTCGCTCGTCGCTCCTAGCTCGCTCGCTTCGCTCGCTCGCTCGCTCGCTCCTTGCTCGCTCGCCTCGCTCGCTCGCTCAGCTCCGCTCGATCGCTCGGCTCGCTCGCTCGCTCGCTCGCTCGCTCAGCTCGGATCGCTCGCTCGCTCTACTCGCTCGCTCGCTCGCTCGCTCTCGCGCGCTCGCTCGCTCGCTACGCTCGCACGCTCGCTTCTCGCTCGCTCAGCTTCGCTCGCTCTCCTCCTCGCTCGCATCGCTTCTAGCTCGCTCGCTCGCTCGATCCTCGCTCGCTTCGCTCCTCGCTCGCTCGCTCGACTCGCTCCTCGCCCTCGTCGCTCGGCTCGCGCGCTCGCTCGCTCGCTCGCTCGCTCGCTCGCTCGCTCGCTCGCTCGCTCGCTCGCTCGCTCGCTGCTCGCTCTCGCTCGCTCCTCGCTCGCTCGCGCTCGCTCGCTCGCTCGCTCGCCTCGCTCGCTCGCTCGCTCGCTCGCTCGCTCGCTGCTGCTCGCTCGCTCGCTCGCTCGCTCGCTCGCTCGCTGCTCGCTCGCTCGCTCGCTCGCTCTCGCTCGCTCGCTCGCTCTCTCGCTCGCTCGCTCGTTCTTTCGTTCGTTCGTTCGTTCGTTCGTTCGTTCGTTCGTTCGTTCGTTCGTTCGTTCGTTCGTTCGTTCTCGTTCGTTCGTTCGTTCGTTCGTTCGTTCGTTCGGTCGTTCGTTCGTTCGTCGTTCGTTCGTTTCGTTCGTTCGTTCGTTCGTCGTTCGTTCGTTTCGTTCGTTCGGTCGTCGTCGTTCGTTCGTTCGTTCGTTCGTTCGTTCGTTCGTTCGTTCGTTCGTTCGTCGTTCGTTTTTTCGTTCGTTCGTTTCGTTCGTTCGTTCGTTCGTTCGTTCGGTCGTCTTCGTTCGTTCGTTCGTTTCGTTCGTTCGTTCGTTCGTTCGTTCGTTCGTTCGTTCGTCGGTCGGTCGTTCGTTCGTTCGTTCGTTCGTCGTCGTTCGTTCGTTCGTTCGTTCGTTCGTTCGTTTTCGTTCGTTTCGTTCGTTCGTTCGTTCGTTCGTTCGTTCTTTTCGTTCGTTCTTCGTTCGTTCGTTCGTTTCGTTCGTTCGTTCGTTCGTTCGTTCGTTCTTCGTTTTCGTTCGTTCGTTCGTTCGTTCGTTCGTTCGTTCGTTCGTTCGTTCGTTCGTTCGTTCGTTCGTTCGTTCGTTCGTTCGTTCGTTCGTTCGTTCGTTCGTTCGTTCGTTCGTTCGTTTTCGTTCGTTCGTTCGTTCGTTCGTTCGTTCGTTCGTTCGTTCGTTTTTTCGTGTTCGTTCGTTCGTTCGTTCGTTCGTTCGTTCGTTTTCGTTCGTTCGTTCGTTCGTTCGTTGTTCGTTCGTTCGTTCGTTCGTTCGTTCGTTCGTTCGTTCGTTCGTTCGTTCGTTGTTCGTTCGTTCGTTCGTTCGTTGTTCGTTTTCGTTCGTTCGTTCGTTCGTTCGTTCGTTCGTTCGTTCGTTCGTTCGTTCGTTCGTTCGTTCGTTCGTTCGTTCGTTCGTTTCGTTCGTTCGTTCGTTCGTTCGTTCGTTCGTTCGTTCGTTCGTTCGTTTTCGTTCGTTCGTTCGTTCGTTCGTTCGTTCGTTTCGGTCGTCGTTCGTTCGTTTCGTTCGTTCGTTCGTCGTCGTTCGTTCGTTCGTTCGTTCGTTCGTTCGTTCGTTCGTTCGTTCGTTCGTTCGTTCGTTCGTTCGTTCGTTCGTTCGTTCGTTCGTTTCGTTGTTCGTTCGTTCGTTCGTTCGTTCGTTCGTTCGTTTCGTTCGTTCGTTCGTTCGTTCGTTCGTTCTCGTTTCGTTCGTTCGTTCGTTTCGTTCGTTCGTTCGTTCGTTTCGTTCGTTCGTTGTTCGTTCGTTCGTTCGTTCGTTCGTTCGTTCGTTCGTTCGTTCGTTCTTTCGTTATTTTTTCGTTTCGTTCGTTCTTTTTCTGTTTTCGTTTCGTTTGGGCGTTTCTTTCGTTCGTTCGTTCTTCGTTCGTTCGTTCGTTCGTTCGTTCGTTCGTTCGTTTCGTTTCGTTCGTTCGTTCGTCGTTCGTTCGTTTCGTTCGTTCGTTTCGTTCGTTCGTTCGTTCGTTCGTTCCGTTCATTCGTTCGTTCGTTCGTTCGTTCGTTCTCTGGATTTGCATCTATTAAACGTTGGTTGCAACCATCCATTGCCAATTGAGATTTTTGTTTCCCCGTAACTAAATTGTGTTAAAACTTTTCTTTGTTTTCTTTTGTTTTGTAAGCACAATAAGAGTTGTAGTAATTTCATTTAAATTTGATGCAATTTTTCTTTATAATTATCAGATTTAAAATAATTCTACCATAAAGAGTTTTCACCTGTTTTACTCCTTCAATTGTTTTAAACGACCCTATAAAATCTAATTTATGTTTATGTTTGTTTCTTTTTTCTTCTCTTTTCAGGTAAAAGTTTCACTTTAACCATCACTGTGGATACATTTCCCCGACAGGTGGCTACCTATTCGAAGGCTATAAAAGTAACAGTCGATGGACCTCGTGAACCGCGCTCAAAAACAAGTAAGTCGAAGTTGTTTATAACGCGTCGCACATTTAGAACAATGTTGTTGCCGCCACCATCAACAATTGCTACTGCTGATGCTGCAGCAACAGCAATAAATCGAAAATCACAAAAAATGAAAAAAATAAAAGAACACGATCAAGATCAAGATGATGAGTTTAGTTTAAGTTTGCCAACGACCATAATAAATGCCACAACTTCGTCCATTTCGTCGTCCCTTTCGAATTATTCGCTTAGTTCTTATAACGAAACTGGTGCTAGTAATGATGATGGTCGTCGAGTTGATGATAGCGGTGGTGGTGGGGTCAGTGTCGTTGGCAATAGTGGTCACTTTAAAACGTCTGCCTTGTCATCATCATCATCATCGGTTATTGAATGTGAGAATAGTTTTGAAAGCCACATGTATGAAGACAAATATGGTGTAATTGATGCGGTTGTTGGGGAGGAGTTAAAAGTTGATTATTTGTTAAATGGTGAGAATCGTTTATTTAAATTAGTAAGAATTGAAACATATTAATTTGATGTATACGAATTGACTTCTAATAGTTTCGAAAGAAACAAATAAGCAGTAACAACAGCCATTGATAGTGTCCTTTCTTAGAAAGGACAACAAAATTAGCATAAAGATTGATTGTACTGCCTTGTTTTTTACCTTATATGAACCCCTCCATGTTCGAAAGACCAATTGTGTGATATTAACATTTAAAAGAGAGCCTTTGTTTTGAACTTTGTTTTAAATCAAAGCAAATAAAATGATAACTTATCTCTTTAAAAAAGGCGCTTAATTAAGTATTACTTCTTTCCTATGAGTTAATTTTATATTCATTAAAAATTATCTTACAAACAAGTTGTTCATATGTTGTGGTTACAAAAACTACTTCACAGATAAACTTTTTTTCAAAAACATTTAAAATTTCTAAAGCATGAGATAAAAAACCGACTTAGAAAAAGTAAACCTCCTCCCTTTTGTTCTACTATAAATACTTTCAGAAGTTAATCCGCTTAGAAAAAGAAAAAAATAGAAAACAGACTGTAAGGGAGTTTGGTTGTGTTGGACATGTTGCAACATGTGTTTAACACAATGCATAAAGCATACTTATCTATTTAAAAAACAACACAAAGACAAACAATAGGATTTAAGGGATTAATCCCTTGTTTAAAATATGTTTATGATCTAAATATTATGAAGTTTTAGCTAACACTTACATGCAGAGTTAATTAGAATGGTATTTGAACTATTTAAGGATTATTTGGGCAAATAGAAACAAGTGTTGTGCAACAATTGGATTGCCTTTATAAATGATTACAACTTCAAGGAAACTGATCGGAGCTACAAATAGAATTTGGTTTGGCAACTAGTTTTCAAAGTGCTTAAATTGGCGCTTAATTTGGAATAAAAGAAGATCAACGATCGACTCTTAAATTGAATCAAATTGAAAACAATGATCAATCGAATCTACAAATCAAAGCATTCAAAGCAGTGACCACTTTAATTGGACTAAAATCAGATCAAGGATCGACTTTTAAATTGAACAAAATATGTAAGATCAACAATCGATTCTTTAATTAAACCAAATAGAGATCAATAAGAAAGAGCAACCATTGATTAGACTAAAACAAGATCAACGATCGATTCTTAAGTTGAATCCATTTGGATTAAAATAAGATTAATGATTCTTAAATTGAACCAAATAATAGTCAACGATCGATCGAATCTACAAATCGACAGCTTATATTAAACAATCGCCTAATTTGAACTAAAACAAGAACAACGATCGTATCGTATAATTACACTAAAACGGTACTTAAATTGGACTGAAATAAGAATAACGATCGACTCATAAATAGAATCAAATCGAAGCTTAAATTGGACTAACAGAGGAACAACTATCGACTCTTTACTTAAACCATAAAAGATCGCTTCTTAACCCATTCGACGCTAAAATACGACTACAATAAGATAACCGATCGACTCTTAAATTGAACCAAATAAAGGTCAACGATCGATCGAATCTACAGTGTAGGAGTTAAGCTTCCAAAGCAGTTATCGCTTAAATATAACTAAAGCAAGATCAACGATCGACTCTATAAATTAAACTAAATCGAAACTTAAATAAGACTAAAACAAGAACAACGGTCGTCTCTTTTAACTAAAGTAAATCGATACCTAAATTAGACTAAAATAAGATCAACTATCGTCTTTTAAATTAAACCATAAAAGATCAACGATCGAATATTAAATTGAACCAAAAAGAGCAAACAAAATCGACGCTTTTATTGGATTAAAAAAGATCAGCGAACGATTCTTAAATTGGAACCATTCGGCACTAAATTGAACTAAAATAAGATTAACGATCGACTTTATATTAAACCAAATAAAAATTGCAGTAGTTGAACTTTCAGAGCAGTGGTCCTTAAATTGAACGAAAATAAGATCGACTATTGAACCTTAAATTGAAGCAAATAAAGATCAACGATCGATGGAATCTACAAATCGACAGTGTAGGAGTTATGCTTCCAAAGCAGGGGTCGCTTAAATTGGATTAAAATAAGATCAACGATCGACTTTTAAATTAAATCAAATGGATGCATAAATTGGATTAAAATAAGATCAACTATCGACTCTTAAGTTAAACCATTAAATATCAACGATCGAATATTAAATGTAACCAAGTGGAGCAACTAAATCAAAGCTATATTGACCAAAAACAGAGCAATCATCTACTATTAAATTAAACCAAATCGATGCTTAAATTGGACTAAAAAAGATCAATGAATTCTTAAATCGGACCCATTCGGTACTAAAATTGAACTAAAATAAGATTGACGATCGACTTTTATATTGAACCAAATAAAAATCAACGATCGAATTTACAATTCGCCAGTGTAGTAGTTGGACTTTCCAAGCAGTAGTCGCTTAAATTCAACGACTCTTAAATTGAACCAAATAAAGATCAACGATCGATCGAATCTGCAAATCTACAGTGTAGGAGTTAAGCTTCCAAGGCAGTGGTGGCTTAATTGAACTAATACAACACCAAAGGTCGACTTTTTAATTGAACCAAATCGACGAACAAATATTTTTCAATAAACAGCAAAAAACTTTCGGAACTTGGTACAAATGGGTGCCGATCACTTTTTTAATGTACCAAATTAAACGTTATTTCTCCTTAGTGATGAGATTTTTCTTAACAAAATTTATATTTTTCTCCCGATATTGAACCCTTTGAATAAAATGGTAACGGATATTCTGTATTGTTTCTGTATTGGTAATCTCATCTGCTTATTGGTTGGTTGCTTCAATGGTTGGGTTAGTGTGTCAGCTGAAAGGATATTAACGGAAATGAAAGAGAAACTCATACAAAACTACAACTATTCATGTTTAGTACCCCAAAATTGGTAACAAAAGATTGGTTTTGAAATAAAGGTTTTTTTGTGTTTCGTAATAAGAGCAGCAAGTGTTTGAAAAGTTGAGTTAAAACTACGTTTTTGTTATTGCTATTTTAGAATATTTTTATAGCAGTACTTGTTTTTTTCTGAATGCCCCAATATAAATACAATATATTTTTATTTTTAAACAAAAATTAAAAAAAAAAACTGTTTGCGGTTTTTTTGAAAAATAAGCAAACACAAACAACATTAACAATATTGGTATGAATGTTTTATGTTATTTTTTATTTTATATTAAAGCTGTTGTTTTTTATTTAAAAAAATGTACTTCGTACCTAGTTTTTTCTGTTGTTTTTGTAATAAATTATGCAGCAGTTTTAAGTCTTCATTTTTATATAGAAAAAACTGACTCTCTATGTAAAGAAAACTGTAAATGTTTTTTAAAATTCCTATAAATAATTACGTTTTTTTCTTTACTCTATTTATTAGGTCCTCCTAATGGCACCCATTTTCGTGGTTTCGGCTTATCACAACGTCCCTATCCCGATACCAGCTTTACCAGTCATTTTCGTGAATTGGGCTCATTACATCGTGTTACCCGCTCATCAGCCGCCGCTACGGCTGCTTCAATTGTTAATTCTGCAGCAACACCAACATCGGCTTCGAGTACGAACAGTAGTAGTTTACCGCAATTAACGGGAGGCATTGGTGGTGGCAGCGTCGGTAATCATTCACCAACGAGTAGTACAATCAATTCAGATTGTCAGGGTTATAAACCGAATGCATCCCATTTACAAGGTAAGTTCGTTGATGATGATAATAATTTCTTTTTTGATTTTTATTTGAAAGCATTAAAATTAATTGATGATCATTAGAGGGGGGAATAAATGTTGATAATGTGTTTGAGTGAAAATGGAAAAAAAAAGTTTATTGAAGACTTAATTTAGGTTTAATGCATATTTCTTTTAACTTTTTTGAGATTAATTCACTTATTTGATATCAAATTGTTGGAATTTTATTAAGGTATCAGAAACGTTTGAATTAAATATTTCAAACCTCCATTTTCTAAAAAATTTTCTTTTATTAATGAAAATTAAATTTTCTATTACTAATAAAAAATTCCAAAAATCATATCGTAACTAATTTATTTCATTTGTCTAATATTATGTTTCTTTCTACATAAATCTAAATAAAATTTAAGAAAATTAACAAATAAATTAATTTAAACAAATAAAAAGATAAAAACTTTATTAACAATAAAATAAACAAAAGTTAAACTAAATCATCATTATCCATTGCTACTTTTGTTAGTTATAGTGGCGCCTAAAATACTGATTCATTTACAACTTAAAACAAAAACAAAATTTAAGCGGATTTTTTGAAACAAAAAATATCAGATTAAAATAAACGTAAATATGTTAATTAATTGATCACACTCACAAAAAAATTAATTTGCAGAAAAGAAAAACAATATAATGTTATCAAGGTAAACTTACTCATACCCTACCTACTCAATATGAATTGAATTTTTAATAAAAAAAAAAAACAGATTTCGAAGAATTAACTTAAAGGGAATTAAAAAATATTTAATCTTGATCTAGATCTATATTTAGAGTCAAGACTATAACCATATGTATCTATTGACCAGACTATTGACTGATCTATAGGCAAGATTATAGAATGATCTATAGTCAAGACTATACAAAAATATGTAGCCATGACTATAGACTGATTTTTATTAAAGATTAAAGACTGATCTGTAGTCAATGATCTATAGAAAAGACTATATACTGATCTATTGCAAATACTATAAAGTGATCTATAGTATAGACTATAGATTGATATATAGTCAAGACTCTGGAATGATCTACCCTTAAGATCTATACTGTAGACTGATCTATAGTCAACACTATAGAATGATCTATAGTCAAGACTATATAATGATCTATATTAGATATTACAGACTCATCTATAGTGCTATAGTCAAGACTATAGACTGATCTACAGTCAAGGCTATAAAATGATCTATAGTGAAGATTAAGTTAAGACTATATGATCTATAGAATGATCTATAGTCAATACTATAGAATTATGTATAATCAAGACTATAGGATTATGTATAGTCAAGACTATAGAATTATGTATAGTCAAGACTATGGAATGATCTATACTCAGACAATAGAATGATCTTTAGTCAAGACCATAGAATGATCTATATTCGAGACTATATAATGATCTATATTAGAGATTACAGACTGATCTATAGTGTTAAAGTGAAGAGTATAGGTTCATTTATAGTCCAGACTGTAAACTGATCTGTAGTCAAGGCTATAGAGTGATCTATAGTCAAGATTATATAATAATCTATAGTTAAGACTATATAATGATCTATAGTCAAGACTATAGAATGATCTATAGTCAAGACTATAGAATGATCTATGGTCAAGACTATAGAATGATCTATGGTCAAGACTATAGAATGATCTATAGTCAAGACTATATAATGATCTATATTAGATTATTACAGACTGATGTATAGTGCTAAAGTGAAGACTATATATTGATTTATAGTCAAGATGTAGACTGATCTGTAGTCAAGCCTATAGAGTGCTTTATAGTCAAGATTATAGAATGATCTATAGTTAAGATTATAGAATGATCTATAGTCAAAATTATAGAATGAACTATAGTCAAGACTATAGAATGATCTATAGTCAAGACTATAGAATGATCTATAGTCAAGACTATAGAATGATATATAGTCAAGACTATAGAATGATCTGTAGAATGATGTATGGTCAAGACTATAAAATGATCTAGTCAAGACTATAGAATGATCTATAGTCAAGACTATAGATTGATCTATAGTCAAGACTTTAGAATGATCTATAGTCAAGACTATAGAATGATCTGTAGAATGATGTATGGTCAAGACTATAGAATGAACTATAGTCAAGACTATAAAATGATCTAGTCAAGACTATAGAATGATCCATAGTCAAGACTATAGAATGATCTATAGTCCAGACTATACCAAGACACTTGAGTAAACTGCCTTTTATAGAGTATTTCAACATACATATAAGAAATGTTGATATTATTTCAAAACTTACAAAAATCATCCACATTAAAACATCTTTTTAAAACAAGACCGGAAATTCCTTTAACAGTTAATAAAATTAAACAAAATTTTCAATATAATACACAAATTTCCAAGAAGTTTAAAAGCTAACAATTCTAGTTGAGAAAAAAACATACATATGTTACAAATTATTATAAATGGCCGACAAAAACACCATAAGTTTAATTGGGTCAATATTTAAAGCCCAAAAAAAAGGATTTAAATCTGTTTTTACCAACAAAATGTAGACAAAAATAAGATTTAAAACTTTAAAAAATTATTTTAATATAAAAACAGTAGGAAAAGCCGCAAATCAATCGAAATGTGGTTGCAAAACTGGGCAGCTGTTGGAAAAAAGTCAGTTGAATAGTGTTGTTTTTTTTTTTACTCAAAAAACTTTACTAAATGAGTAAAAGTGTTTTAGTAAGTACATGTTTAAAAAGAAAGATTAAAAAAAAAATTGTAAATCCCTTGTTTTAAAACAAATGTTTTTAAAACCTCAAATCATTAACATGTCAATGTTAAATAATTTGCCTGAAGTTTGTTAAAAATACAACCAATCAATGTTCCAAATATGGCAAACAAATTTGCCAAACAGTAGAAAAAACATGCAAAATTTTTAAAATTTTCTTAAAGTTCTGTTCTTTAAAAATTTTGACAAGACAGTTTAGAGTTCTTGCCAACACTTTAGTAAAAGTTCTTTTTTTTTTAAAGAAAGCCACTGTTTTTCTTTTGGCCAAAACGGAAATGTATTTCAAAATGAATTGAGTTCGTTTTTTGGTAGCTGTTCAAATGCCAAAATGTTTAAGTACTAGAAAGGAAGAGAAGAAAAATAAACGAAAACCAATGAACTTTAACACATGATCGATCCTCTAAAAAAGGGTGAAGCGCAAGGTAGTGAAAAGTTAATATCAAAAATCTGAATCCTGAATCAAACATTGTTTAAATCAAATCATTCTCAGTTTGAGAGAAAATCTTCAAACTGATCTAAATAACTTTGAGTACAATTTACACATATTTTGGGAATAGAACTTTTTAATTGGAATAACTTTGAATAAAGTTTGTGAGAATCTCAAATCTCCCAATTTAGGATTCAACAAAAGCAGATATGCGCAAAGACCTCCTTGATAAGTTATACTGTTAGATATAGTACTAAATAAGACATCGACAGGGAATTCTCTTACAGTTTCCAGAGAACTCTGGTTTGATTTGAATGTAAGGGAGCAAGGGAGCTCAAAAGAAAGCTTTCAGTTGGAATAACTTTGAATAGTGTTTGTGAATATGTATGGAAAATACATGTTTTTGATTTGTGATTTTTAAAGAAAGGGATTTGATAATGATTCTCAAGAACTAAGATTGTCTCTTTTCAAACTATTAAAATGATTTTAAAGAAGTTTGAATTAACTTTGGTCCTACATATACGAATTAGAACTGAACTAGAACTGAACTAGAACTGAACTAGAACTGAACTAGAACTGAACTAGAACTGAACTAGAACTGAACTAGAACTGAACTAGAACTGAACTAGAACTGAACTAGAACTGAACTAGAACTGAACTAGAACTGAACTAGAACTGAACTAGAACTGAACTAGAACTGAACTAGAACTGAACTAGAACTAGAACTGAACTAGAACTGAACTAGAACTGAACTAGAACTGAACTAGAACTGAACTAGAACTAGAACTAGAACTGAACTAGAACTGAACTAGAACTGAACTAGAACTGAACTAGAACTGAACTAGAACTGAACTAGAACTGAACTAGAACTGAACTAGAACTGAACTAGAACTGAACTAGAACTGAACTAGAACTGAACTAGAACTGAACTAGAACTGAACTAGAACTGAACTAGAACTGAACTAGAACTGAACTAAAACTGAACTAAAACTGAACTAGAACTGAAGTAGAACTGAACTAGAACTGAACTAAAACTGAACTAGAACTGAAGTAGAACTGAAGTAGAACTGAACTAGAACTGAACTAAAACTGAACTAGAACTGAAGTAGAACTGAACTAGAACTGAACTAGAACTGAATTCGTCTTTAAAACTCTTTATAAAACCTCCTATTAACACCACCATTCAATAAACTCAAACAAAACAAATTCATTCAGAAGAAATTTTCGTTTCTGTTCTTAAGCAATGAAATTTTTGAATGGAAACTTAAACATTAAATCTGGGTAAAACTAACTGCATTATATCTACACTTATCTTCATTATCAAGACATGAGGCAGAAGATGAATATCATTATTATTATTTCTTTTTGTTTATCATTATTTTTGCAAAACCGCAGTCCAACTTCCGTTCCTGGATATTGAGTTTTTTTGTTTTGTTCTACACAAATTTACAACACCATTTTAAATTACAAATACCAAAACATTTCTTTAGTATCTATACATACAATATGGTGTAATTTATGACCAAGTAAGTGGACTGTTTGGCCAGGAGTTTGGTTACAAACAAAAAGAATAATCACCATTAAATTTTGTGGGGATGCAGAAGTGTCCATAATGTGTTAGTGGGAACTGTTTATGGTTTCTTTTTTTAATTTTTTTGTCTTCAATTTTTCTTTTATATAAAAAAAAATGGTTGCGCGAAGATGATAATTTTCATTATGATGATGAGAAGATTTTGAAATTTTTATTATCTTTTCATAAGGTGTTAAATTGTTAATATCCGGTATTGTTTTACATTTAAATAAAGTATAAAAAGTCACTGATCACATATATGAAAAGATGTTATAATAATGAACGTCTGCTGCAACCACTTAAAGACTTGATTTTCAATTCTGAAAGCTCTGCAACTGGTAATGATTAGTGCAAAACATTGACCACTTTCTCTCTTAATTTATTTACTCCTTTCTCTGCACTCACACTACCAAAAATCAAAATTGAAAAACTCTTATACACACACAGCAGGACACATTGCAATAATCCCTCTCTATTAAGGGAATCCATGAAAGGATATCAAACTAATTACAATTATAATTAATTGAAGGTTCCCCTTCAACGAGCAAAAACAATAGACATTTGTTAGCAATACAACAGTAAAAAAACAACAACAAATGACAACATAATCATTAAAACGTTGGAAAAAATGTTGTAATGGGAAAATGGACAACAGAGAGTCCTTTGCAATTATCAAACGTCAATTGAAGGTTAAATTAATGACAAAAAGGAAACGAAACAGGACACACGCATGCAAAAAAACAAACAAACTCCTTGCTTTAAACGGCTAAAGAAAAAAACAATCTAAGCGGTATATTGGCTTTAAAAAAAATTTAATTTGTTTGGAATAAAACAAAAAAGGCTCAACATGTTGACAGTGAATAAATGTACTTGCAACATGAAAATTATATGTTGCCTCTTGCATATTATTTTTCGTTTATTATTGTTTTTGTAATCCTTAAAAGTTACAAGTCCGTAGCAGTCGGCAATGGACAAAATTGTTTATGGGAAAACCTGAAGACTGACGGATGGAGAGACGCAGGGACAGCAATGAAAAGTTGGTGGTACTACAGTAGCTAGAACAACTGTATTATGTACAACATAATAATTTATTTAGACGTTTATGCTGCAACGTACAATGAAATATTTATGTGGATTTTGTAATGACTTTGAAAATATACACTTGGAAAAAATCAGTTCTAGTTCAGTTCCAGTTCAGTTCTAGTTCAGTTCTAGTTCAGTTCTAGTTCAGTTCTAGTTCAGTTCTAGTTCAGTTCTAGTTCAGTTCCTGTTCTATTTTAAAGTTCTAATTCAGTTCTAGTTCAGTTCTAGTGCAGTTCAAGTTCAGTTCTAGGTCAGTTCTAGTTCAGTTCTAGTTCAGTTCTAGTTCAGTTCTAGTTCAGTTCTAGTTCAGTTCTAGTTCAGTTCTAGTTCAGTTCTAGTTCAGTTCTAGTTCAGTTCTAGTTCAGTTCTAGTTCAGTTCTAGTGCAGTTCTAGTTCAGTTCTAGGTCAGTTCTAGTTCAGTTCTAGTTCAGTTCTAGTTCAGTTCTAGTTCAGTTCTAGTTCAGTTCTAGTTCAGTTCTAGTTCAGTTCTAGTTCAGTTCTAGTTCAGTTCTAGTTCAGTTCTAGTTCAGTTCTAGTTCAGTTCTAGTTCAGTTCTAGTTCAGTTCTAGTTCAGTTCTAGTTCAGTTCTAGTTCAGTTCTAGTTCAGTTCTAGTTCAGTTCTAGTTCAGTTCTAGTTCAGCTCTAGTTCAGTTCTAGTTCAGTTCTAGTTCAGTTCTAGTTCAGTTCTAGTCCAGTTCTAGTTCAGTTCTAGTTCAGTTCTAGTTAGTTCTAGTTCAGTTCTAGTTCAGTTCTAGTTCAGTTCAGTTCTAGTTCAGTTTTAGTTCAGTTCTAGTTCAGTTTTAGTTCAGTTCTAGTTCAGTTCCAGTTTTATTCTAAATAGTTGAAACGAATGAAACATTTATCTTTGAGTGTATCCCTTCAAAATTACTGTTGATGTCGATGACGTGAATAATGATGATTATGAGGGGCGTACAAATACAACAAATATTAAAATGTGCGTGGCCGCCGCTAAAGGTCTAATTCACTGCAGTTTGTTTAACAACATTTTATACAACAAGGGGTTAAAACGCTGTAGTTCATATTAGCAGGAAAATTTTCATACTAATTGAAACATTAAAATGTGATAAATGCTAGTTTTAGTTTCAACAGTGATTATGGTATAAAATTGCTTCAAATCTACAAAGGTAGAGGAGTCGACGTCAGTCATCCTTCATGGTCTACAAACGGCAAATGTTGTCTTCATTATTGTGAAGAAACAAGGGGATGAAAATGAATAAAAAAAAAAACATTTTTCAATTATGGGTTAAATTAACGGTATGTACGTCATAGGTCTTTTGAAGCCAGCGGAAAGATATAAGATTTTTTTCTTCTGACAGTTTATTAAAATTTGTGTTGTTTATAATTAAATTAATTAGTTTCTTAAATTAGTTTAATTAATAATGTTGAAGAATTTAAGATTTATAATTAATCAAAGTATGTTTAGTAAGCTCACCTGTTAAGAAAGTGTTTTCTTAACTGCTCTTTTCTTTCAGGGAATTTTTTAATAATTTTTTTTCCCTCTGTTGTTATGTAACCCTTTTTGCTTTAAATTAATAATTTTTCTAGTTTTATATCTGTTGCTGTTGTTGCTAATATGTGTGTCTTTGGATTGAGTGACATATTTTATATATGACACAGCAGGTTGCCATTTTGTTCATATGTTTTGCTTGTTATCCTGTCTGTCATCAATTTCATTAAGGGAACGACCTTAGAATCGCAGCTTATGTCAAATTATTTTTCAATTAATATTATTTTGTTGTAAAAATATGGCTTATAATGTTTATGACATGTTTATTATTTTAAAAATGCTTTTCTCACTCCCGTTCTATTAAGGCTCCTCTTGTTCATTTATTAAATATTGTATTAAATTAAAAATTTTGTTAAATATTTAATTAATTTTTTAAACTTTTTCATATTTTTAGACAACAACAATCTTATGGGTGCCGCCGAATGGACAGGTTATTCCAGCAGCATGACTAGTGCCTCTGCCTATTCCAGTTTTCATCATACCCATCACTTACCACCACCTCCACCGCCATCAGCTGCTTCAGCAGCTGCCACAAATTCCGCTTACAGCGGCTATGAAAGTCTCACCACCGATCCCGCCAACTTACACTTGCCAACCGTGCTCACCGATATGCAACCCTATTGCCCGACCAGTGATTATCATCCCAGTGCCATAGTGCCGCATGTTCAGCCTCCGATTTGTAGTCCCAACTATAGTACGGTACCGAAAAATGAATACGATTCCTATAATGCAGCAGCAGCGGGTTATTCTTCCTATAACAACTGGTCTAATGGCTATAATAATTACCAATATGGTAGTTGTGCGGGTCAGCCACAATACTCAGCTCATACAGCGCACACAATGGTGCTGTATCCTCAACTTATATCCACCTATAATCAAAATGAAATTCACTTACACCTACACGGCACCGATAAAATCGAACAATATTTAGGAGGAGAAAATGCTCTCACTATCAGTTCCCTTTCCGGCAATCGTTCGAGCATAGAGATCGGTATAGGCACCTCGGACCACGAAGAACAAATGCAAAATACTAATAGTGCGGCAGGCGTAGGTGGAGGTGGATTAATGAATAATGATCCTCATACTCATGTGGTAGTAACAGATCCAGCGAATCTAGATCCGGAACAAAGACAAACACAAACGCATTTAACGGATCCCGCAACTGAAGTTAATGTGGTGGGCGGTGGTGGTGGCGTTAGTGTTGCATCAGCGGGTGTGACAAATGATCAACATACTCATGCCTCGAGAGAGGGAGAAGAAGTGTGGCGACCCTATGTGCCCACTTCATGGCCTCAGTGACAAAATTGTAAGACTTATGTACATATAGAGTTAAATTAAGAGTCTATTTAGTTTGAATACGTATTTAGTTAAGTAATTACTACTATTTGCTTTAAAAAAATAAATGAAATGGAATGAATGTAAAAAGAAAATCAAAAAAAAAAAAACACAAAATTTGAAAAATTATTTAATCAGAAGATGTACTAGGAAAAGGCTTGTAATATATAAAGGTTATTTTTTAACGTATGCCTAAAAGTATGCTCCTCTTTATTGATACATATTAATTGAATTCTTAGAATATTCGCGATAAAAAAAATCGTTTTACAGGACTTCATAGATTTGTTCGAGAAGTAGTGGAAAATATAGTGTTGTTTTTCCAGAATCCTGTGTCGACATAATTAAGTATCCATAGGAACATTCAAGAATCTATTCAATATGTCCTATTTTATCTTCCAAGTCTCTTAAATACGATGTGTTTTTTCAATCACAGAGTGAGCTAAAGAACACGCGGCTTGCAAGTTTGGTGCGCGGCTGATGCCGGTCCATGTACAAAAAATTCATTACAAAATGGTTCAATGGTTCTTTAAGAGTTTTAAAAAATGTCCTTATTTTATCACCAGGGACAGCAAAGGGTTAATTTTCATTAAAATTTCTGCAAGGTTTTATCGCATTCGATTGAAAAATATTAAAATTTTCTTAAAAATTGATCACAATAAAGTTAAATTTCAGATTGTTATTTTAAGAGTTTTAAAAGGGCAACAGTTTCATATAACCAAGGTCTGCAAAGGGTTAATTTTCACTAGAATTTAAACTTCATTGATCATGGCATATTTTTCAAGGTTTCATCAAGATCCATTGAAAAATACTAAATATTTAGCTAAATGTCAAATATATAAAAACTTGACCTTGTTTAATATATAAAAACTTGACCTTTGACCCCAAAGGTCAATAGGTTAAATTCCCCATATTTTGACAAAACATTCGGTAAAATTTTTTTTTGAAAAGGAGAGTAAAATTTTGAAATATTCTTAAAATTGGACTGCAAGAATAGAAAAGTAGGAAGAATTACGCTTTTCCTAAAAAACAAGTGTAATTTCAAAACTGGTACGACTTAAGAATAAAAGCTATTTGAACTAATTATTTTTGGCTTTAATTCTGTTAGACTTTTGCAATAAGATTCTAAAGAAAATTACTTTGTAAATTAACAATTTATTTAACAAAAAATTTTCCTAATTGCATAAAAACCCAAAACATGTTTCCTTAAATTAACTTTTTCCATTCAATACCGATTAAATAAATTTTTCAAAATAAAATTACGTTTAAATCATAAATAATTTAGTTAGTTATAAATTCTATATAATTTTATAAATGTGTATTTAAATGTAAAAAACAACAAATAAATCTAAAAATACAAATTATTTAAAACAAAATATGATTAATAATTCTTTATAAAAAAGAAATAAAATAAAAAGAAAATATAACATTATAAAAACAACAAACTACAATTACAACAAAGTAATTATAAAAAAAAAATTGGATCAGATTAACAATTTACTTGTATAAATTGTTATAAATACATTAAAGAAATGCATGTTTGTATATTTCAAATAAAATAAAACTTTCCTGCGGTTTTATTATTATTGTTTCTTCTTCTTCTTGTACTTAAAACTCAATAATTTATTTTCAAATGAAATGAAAGAAAACAAATTCTTGTTTAAAATTATTTATTTACGTTTCTAGAATTTTACTATTTTTATTTCAAAATTATCTTTCTCGCAGTTTTCAAATGAAATTTTTCTCATTATTGTGTATTTATAATTAACTAAAATATAAAGAAAAGGACTGTGTACTAGACTCTAAGATTAGATTTTAGTTTATAAAATATTTGTTGTTTAAATTTTATGTTTTTTTTTTTTAATTTTTGTAAATATTTAAGTTCTATTAAATTTAAATAATTTTAATAAATAATTAAAATAAATTTTTAAAAATATCCAAATAAAACTAAACAAAAATGTGTTTTAATTACATTACATAGAAAAAAAAACTGTTATATAGATTTTGTTCAAAATTAAAAAAACTGTTATATACACTTTTTTGTAAAGAAAAAACTATTAAAACCATTTTTTCCAAAGAAAAAAGTTTTATACGCATTTTTTCTAAAAAGTTATAACGAAATTTTTCGAAAAAAAAACTGTTGCACACAAATTTTTCTATAGAAAATGTGTTATACAGAAAATATTCTACAGAAAAGTGTTATAAAGAATAAGAATAAAAATATATAAAAAAATGTGTTATAAATAAAATTTGTCTATAACCAGTTCTATTTCAACAAATTTTGCTATAGAAAAATGTATTATACACAAAAATTTCTGTAGAAAAATCTGTTATACAAAAATGTTTCTCTAGAAAATGCGTTACTCACAAATTTGTCTATAGAAAAATGTGTTACACACAGATTTTTCTGTAGAAAAATGTGTTAGACATAAATTTTCTTTAAAAAATGTGTTATACACAAATTCTCTTTAGAAAAATCCGTTATATAAAAATTTTTCTATAGAAAAATATGCTATACACACAATTTTCAATAGAAAAATCTGTTATACATTATTTTTTAAAGAAAAATCTGTTATACACAGTGTTCTACAGAAAAATGTGTTATAAATAAAATTTGTCAATAACCTGTCCTATTTAAACAAATTTTTCTATAGAAAAATGTGTTATACACAAAATTTTCTGTAGAAAATCTTTTATTTTTATAAAATTTATCGAAAACCTGTCCTATTTAAATAAATTTTTCTATATAAAAATGTGGTATACACAAAAATGCCTGTAGGAAAATCTGTTATACAAAAATGTTTCTAAAGAAAAATGCGTTATTCAATAATTTGCCTACAGAAAAATGTGTTATACACAATAGTTTCTATAGAAAATCTGTTATACACGAATTTTTATATACAGAAATGTGTTATATACAGCCTTTTCTATAGAAAAATGTGTTATACATAAATTTTGTTTAAAAAAAATGTGTTATACACAAATTTTCTTTAGAAAAATCCGTTATATAAAAATTTTCTGTAGAGAAATATGCTATACACACAATTTTCAATAGAAAAATCTGTTATACACTATTTTTTAAAGAAAAATCTGTTATACACTATTTTTTAAGGAAAAATCTGTTATACACAAAGTGTTCTATAGAAAAATGTGTTATAAATAAAATTTGTCGATAACCTGTCCTATTTAAACAAATTTTTCTATAGAAAAATGTGCTATTAACAAAATTTTCTGTAGAAAATCCTTTATTTTTATATACAGAAATGTGTTATACACAGACTTTTCTATAGAAAAATGTGTTATACATAAATTTTCTTAAAAAAAAATTGTACAAATACACAAATTTTCTTTAGAAAAATAACGGATTTTTAAATTCAAATAACGAATTTAAAATTTTTTTTATAGAGAAATATGTTATTCATACAATTTTCAATAGAAAAATCTGTTATACGTTATTTTTTTAAAGAAAACTCTGTTATACACGAATATTCTTATAGAAAAATCTTTAATGTATAAAATTGACCTTTGACCTATCTGTAGGGTCAGACTTGTGTGACTGTGTATTATGGTTTCCGATATTCTTTCATTGGTATAAAATAAGGATCAAGCATTTTTAGAAATTCTTAAAATTCAAATCGAATCGTAATTTCGAAAATTTAATGGAACCAGAAATAGTTCCAGATCCCCTTCACTAAGAACTAGTCACAACACTAGTTCTATTATAATTCTAGTGAGAACTATGTTTTCTATTACAGATTGTGATCTCTCATCACTTCTATATATAAATATCTAAGATCCCAACCCTCGCCGATCAAAAATTTGTTTAAAAATGTTTAGTAAATTTTAACAAATTCTCTCCAGCACTCACCTATGCTGTAGGGCAGCATATAGAAAAAATCACAAAGTTATTACGAGTTTCGTTGGTGTACTGTTATCGTGTGTTTTCTGAAATGCGGTTCCGATATGCGATAAGAATTTATTTCAATTTTATTTAATTCTTTACGTTCAAGACATTTTTATTATTATAATTTAAAATGATTCATTTTGCAGACACGTGTAAATACGTAAAAGCAATAACTTGTTTATGAAATCAAGTTCATATAAATTCTATTATTGTTGGAATATATATTTTTTGTTATAGAAAGAATAAGAAATTTTATTTACGAGAATCTGAATGCGGTTTAGGTAATTATAGATTTTCTATATAAAAGAGGAAAAAAGTGAAATATTTTCTAAAACATTTGCCAATTGAAAGTCTTTGATAATGATCGAAATCTCACTAGACTTTGAAAGAACATTTCGATCTTTATCGAATAACTTAATTTAGCTTCAGTTGAAAGTGTTAAATAGCTTGATAAAAGTTCTTTTTTCTATTTTCCTTCCTTCTCTATACTCAATACATTTAAAATGTTTGCCAATAATTTGTCTAAGACCACCATCATAGAATTACAGAAGTTCATTCAGCTATCACAATTAACAATCTTGGCCACCCTGTCGATGCTTTAGAAACACTTACTACAACAGCCTGCCTGACTGCCAAGTCAGTTCAGTTAATTGTATGGGATTTCATAAAAAGCAAAATGTACAAATTTACTGGAGTATGTCTTACAAAGAGTTTATTAGAGAGTTTAATGTTACATTAGAAGAACTTTATTACGAGCATGATAACGGCGATCGCATGCAAAACACAAACATACGATCACCTACGTTCAGCTTTAAAGCTACTAAATGTTAGAAAGTTTATTATCAATTTTGATTGTTTGTTGTAATTTTTTTACCGCAAGGTGATCAAATGTACGCACAATGACTTTTTATACTTCTTCGTTTTCATCCTCTCTCTCTCCCTTTTCTTCGACAGAATAAAAATTGTCAACGATGCGTAGGATCAGTTACAGGCAGGCTGCAGCAGTATACGTTGACAATGATGTTGGAATAATGTTCCCCTTTTTAAGTTTCGTCTTGTGATTATAAAGCGCGTGTTGCTTGTTTAAGGTTTTGTGTTCTATAGAGAAGAAGCCCTTCTTTTGCTTGACTTTTTTTTCCAATTTTATTTTTTATTTTTCTGAATGCGTACCCATGCATGGTTAAATATTCTCTAGTTACACAAACTCTTTCTTTTTTTTGCTGGCTTACGGACCAAGTTAGAAAATTGCTTTAACCATCAAACTGTTGACAATGGGTATTGTACTTCAACTGCAACAAAATCACAAAATGTTTAAAACACTCTTTGGGTCTCAGTATATTCGCATTAAGGGCTTTTTATTGCAAAATTATCTACTTTATAATGACTACTGTATACCACCTGCATTACATAGTAACAGTCAAGTACATAAAGCTGAGCTACATAAAGCTGTTTCGAATCTTGCCAGTATTTTTTATGCTTTTGCTAAAATGTTGTGACTTCTGAAATCAAGAACAAATCGAGATCAAATAAGACCTTTTTGGGATAAATTATCATTTGACATTAAATCAAACGAAAATTCTCAAAATTAGTATAATGTAAGATCACTTTGACCCAAAAAAAGGCTTTAATTAGGTTCCCTACTTATCCCTACGAATCAAGTATTTTGTATTTGGTTTAAGGAAAATTCTACTTTTGAAACTGCTCCGGATTGATTACACTACAGAATACCCAATTCTTTTATTGAGTGTACTAAAGACGTAATTGTATATTTGAGCCCTTCATAGCCATTTTAGGGTTAATTTTGTGCCAAACTAACATGCAAAATACCAGTTGTAAAGTTGAGACTTTTCAAGTCTCTACAATTTTACACATGACTGATGACATGTATGATGATCGATCGTGTACTACACGTACACACTTACACACGTTCGTCCACAAGTTCCTTCATTCCACTTTTGTTCTTAATGTTTGTAAGTTAAGTATTCACATGCCCGTTAATACTTGCAACACTCGTAGTCGTCGTCATCACAAGTATTTGTAGATCATTGTTGTTGACAATTTAGACTTTAGTTAAGCTTGTGATCAACCGATGTTAAAATGATGTCCATGTGTCCTACTGTACGTTTGGCATCAAGTTGCTGTTAAAAGTGGAAAAAAATGAAATGTAATAAAAGTTTAAATATTGGTCGCTGCATGAAGACTCGATTGATGTTTTTGTTTTAATTTTTTTTAAGAATACTTTGTCAGCATCTGTAGTGTAGTTTTAAGGTATTTAATTAAACCTGGTTTAGTAAAACGAGGCTTAACGCTTAGATCAGGAAAACAACTTGATCATGTGTGGGACTATGCATTTTCATTACTTCAT